TTAATGACGGTGGTTTAATGATGAAGTACCCCAAAACCCCAAAACCCCAAAACCCCAGAATTCATAATAATCATGAAAATAATGAAATTTTAAAATTTATTTTTATTCATCAAATTTATGAATACTTTAGGAGCATTAAGCTTATTAAATTATTCCTTCTATATATTTTCATTTGTTTGTATTCTTTTGTTATAAAAGCAATTTCATTTCAATCAATATCATAGCTTATGGCATCTTATGAAAAGGATAGATTACTAAGCTGAATATTCTTTTTAATTTTTTCAAAATTCCTTTTATTAGAATCATTAATATAGTCTTCTTTGCCATTATTTTGTATTAATTTAGCTTTTTGATATTATAAATCATTTTCACTTTATATGTTTGTTCTGGAATTGTAATAATTTGACTCAATAGCATAAACAGAGTCTGCCTAATCAACTAAATTTTCCCTTTACTTTATGGAATATTTTTTTTAGATATCAATATTTTTTTTTCTGCGTATTCTAGTCTTGATAGCCACGACATGTTACAGTATTATATAAATAATGTTGACTGAAAGGAAAATAAAGCTTCCTAGAATAGGAATATATCCTACTTTGAGTCTTAGTTCATAATCCAAATCATAGCTATCAGTAAAAAGAATCATTGCAATCTAGATTATATAAATGCATATCTCATTGAAAATTTCTAGATTATTAATTTCTAAGCTTTTAAATGGCCGCATCTATGTCAGATATACGCAAATTGAGAAATTTTATACGACCATAAAAGTTACTTACATGCCTTAGCTAAAACTTAAAAATACCAATGCTAAAGAATATAAGATTCTTCTGAAAATACTAAGAGTGGCAAATTAAAGTCTATCATTTTTTAATCCTTCAAATAGAGTTATAAACTATTCTTTGAATTGAGGTTTATCATCTTTTGATAGAATTAGCTTGGTGATAATTGCGGTTATAATTGATAAGCTTATCCAGATTAGAGAATATATTATTGATATTAACGCGCAAAAGATATCAATTGGGTCAGATAACTAAAAATAATAAGTTTGAAAAAGATTTCGTACCTAATAGAAGTGAATCGAAGAGCAGATTATCAATTCAATCAAAGATTCCAGAATGAACCTCTACGCTGTTGAGTCCAATAATTTCTGATTAAAGTTTCTTAGAGTTTTTGTTATTCTAGAATAATATTATCATCTAATATTAACTTACACTTTTGAACGAAATTAGATCAAATTCAAAAAGAGCACCGAGATGATTAGCATTAATAAGCCTAATTATATATAGAAAATCATTCCCAAATTTTGAATTATATTTCTAGTTTAGTATCCCATTTAATCAAAATAAATGCTATAACTTCCTTCATACTCTAAAAGAAAGTCTTTCTTAAACAATATCTAATTTGCAGTTTCTACTTCAATAAATTGAAAGCTAGAGACATCATTGATGAAAGAATAAAATATTGCAGTGTTTTATGGAGTATTTAAAGCCATTAACGGCATATGTGTTATTAGTTAGAAGCTATTAATCATTCCCCAAAGCATCTGTAAACTTTGAGACCTATTGTTTTAATTAATTTCATAAATTTGTACATTATTAAGTTAGCAATTAAATTAGTTCCTATGATACTATTAAGTGTAATACTAGTCTTTTAACCAAGAGAGTTAAATTTTTATGATTCATCTTGAAATGTTAAAAAATAATTGTTTATTACCTTATGAGATCTAAGGAGGAATTGAAGCTGAAATTTCATAGTCTTGTGGAAGCTTAAAATTCATATTTTGATCAACGAATTCAAAATTATAAATGAAACGAAATTTGACTATGTCTAATATCTAAAAGTACTGAATCAATATAATGAATTACTTACAGGACCTTAGGAAATTTTTGAAAGATCTTTAAATATGAGTTACAAGTAAAGGATTTAGTTTTATTATAAATCAACTACCTCAAAATTAATATCTTTTGAATCGTCACTCTAAAGTATACTGCCTTCTAATTCGACCTTTGAATCATAATAGTAAGCTTTAAGGGATTTTGGTAACTTAACATAATAATTATCAGATATTTTTAATTTCTTATTGAACTTAATTGCAACCAAACCAGTAGCTGAAATTTTCAATATTTTAGCTTCAAGTTTTCCAGAAATATTCAAATAAATTTACTATCTGTAATCATCAAATATTTCTTTGTCTATTTAAACTTAATCTGGTGGAATTTTCCCCTAATTTTCAAGCTATTTTATATTTAAAACTAGATAGTATTTTCTTTATTTAGGTGAGTTGTTTAAATCTTTTAAAATAATTTTTACTTTTTGAATTCCTACTAATAAAGATATAGGTTTTATTATTAAACTGCTATTTTTTTATTCGAAATCCAGAAATAAATCCTTCATTGGAGATTAAACATAGATAATATAATTATCATCTTCAAGATCAAATACTTTAGGAAATTTACAGGAATAAGTTTCCCCAACTATAATATCTAATTCCTTAAAATCTTGAGTAAAATATGGAGCAGTATTTGTTATTGTATATTTACTTGTTACTATTTTATTATCTAAACTCACACTTATAGAATAAAACTTTTGACTTAATTCAATACCAGTCATCGAGTTTTTTAATATAAATGTCAATGGGATAGTATATAAACCTTCTAGAGTCTTATCGATAGTGTATATCTATAAATAAAAATTTCGCCTATCTGATGTTTGATGTATTGTATTAATAACCGCTTGCTAAGTTATGTTTTACGATGCAATTAATAACTTTTGAACATAGATTGAATCATCTAATTAATAATCTGGTGGAATAATTTAGCATTTTTAAATGGCAGAACCTATGTGATATTCTATTTAAGGAATTGAAGGTTCCTAGATTACTTGATAATCATAAGCACACTAATTGCATATATTTATCTTTATTACATCGTAATTTTATTTATACTTGATAGTTCCATCTTACAATGATAAATCAATAGCCAAATCATGCAAACCTAACAAAGCAGAGTCATTAAATTTATATTTTAGGCTGTATATTATTTCTGAGGAATTTACAGATAATCTCTGTGTTTCAATCCTCAAGGGGAGATCTGACCTTATATCTTCAATTTGAAGAGTGAAATTAGGAAAAAATTAGTCGCTACAATTATTGATTTTATACCTTAAAATTACAGGTTAACAAGTTATCCCCAAAAGACAATTCTTAGTGTGATAGCTATCTGAAGAGCCATAGTAGGTATGATTTATAGTGATGTTAAGATTTTAAAGCCAGTATTTTCCATTAATCTCGCTTTCTTTTGAAGGCCAAAAGCTATTTTCTTACATTGCCCCTATATATTCTTAATATGTGTTTAGACCTAAATACATCAATAGATCAGTTTAAGTATTGTTAACTACCACTGGCATAGTTATATCAAAAGGAGTAGCACTTTCAATATATGTATGATCTTGGATAGAATCAATAATAAATTTATAGATTTCATAATAAATTCCTTTGCTTTTACTGATAAATGCAGCCTATTATTAAGAATTTTCTTATCTAAAGAATCCAGCATAAAAGAATATATCTTTGATCATGACAAATGCCTAACGCTATATATTCACAATATAGCCATTGTCTTTTAATAATAAGTGGTATGATACCTTTATTTTTGGGACTACTGAGTTTGTGGTATCGAATATAGAACCATCAAATTAAAGTTAAAAAGTAGCAGGTTACCCTTGCTCATTGAATTGGGTATAATACACTTGAAACAATCCGTAAGAGTTTATTGAAACTCCAGAACATTTTAGTTTGTTTTAGGTAGCTGCTAATTGGCTGTAGAATATTCTTTCAACATTTTATGAATTTACTACTAAAAATCCATATTTTTTGCCTCCTAAACTATTCAAACATGACAAAATGTACGAATGTTAAATTATAGTTAATCCGAAATCTAAAGTGCTTTCTTCATTAAAATTTAATATCTTATTAAAGCTGATGTTATTAACTATAAAGTTTCTCTGAAAATAATATAATCCCAATGTAAGATACTCATAGCCATTTAAATTTTAAATATTTTTATATCTGCCTCCAATTAGGGTAGTTTCATAAGAATTCTCTAATTTTTTAATAAATGAAACAGTTGTATTTATGAAATTAATGGTGATCTTTTCGATTATTTTTTACTTTCCCATGTCTATCTTATAGATAACTCCTCTACTTTCATTATCTTAAGTAGATATATGCAAAAATTCACCTTAAATCATCTCAAAAGAATCAGTGACTTAGAGTAATTCATTTAACTGGCTCTCAATATAAAATCCATTTCTAAATAAACCTGAAATATCTGTCTACATAAGATAGAAATAACCAGTGCCATTTTATTAATGAGATTCACTTTTTAATAAAGCATAAATTCTATTTGTTTTTGTTTTCAAAGCTAATACAGATGCAATGTTTAAACCCATAGGTGGTGAATCTTTAAATTTGTAAGATCTTTACCAAATTATTCTGTTGATATTCAATTTATTTGCATACAAGCCTAGTAGTATACTATCGTTCAGCATTCCACCAAAGTATAGATAATCTGAGTCACTTTCATATTAAAGTGTGTTAATTATTGATTCATTTTTATTTGTATAACCAATGACAACGGGCATTGCGTCTTCACTGAAGCACAATTGAGTTTGACTATAGATAAAATATTATAGGATGAATGTTTTTACATTAGGGTTAATAAGTAGCCAAGTTAAATTAAAACTAAAGAAAACATCTTTTTCCAAATTTTAAATATCTATTAAAAAAATATTATTATATAAAGGCATTTCAACAAAGTATTACTAATTTGATATTTTTAAAAAAGTTAAGAATTTTGAGAATGGGGTTTTGGGGTTTTGGGG